CTGCAAGGCTATCTCGGTGTCTCAATGGATTGAAGGCTGGCTCCCGAGCTACTGCTGCTGTCCGAGACCTGGATCTGTACAAAAGAGCACAGAGTGTAGTATCAGCACAACCGACCCCATGTGCTGGTATGTGCCTAGCCTAAACTCGGCGAAGTAGTGACGAGGCTAGGACCAGACTACCAAAGAAACCTGTGCAGTTATATAATGTACAACGGAAAGTAAAGCAGAAATAAACAAGAAAGGATGGGAGGGGGAAACATGTTGCGGGGAGATAACAGTTTCGAATAAAGCATCAAGTAAGGAAAGGAACAACATAACCACAATGTCAACAAGAAGCAGAAATCAAATAAGTGCACGGCATCACCCTTCGTGCTTTTACTCTCGTCCTTACCAAGCAATAATATAATAAAAACGTGCACGGCATCACCCTTTGTGCTTTTACTCTCTTTCCTCACCAAAGCAATTAGAATAATAAAATGTGCACGGCATCACCCTTCGTGCTTTTACTCTCTTTCCTCACATATAATCAATAGAATTGGAACGGAATGGTACATCGTGCAGCACGGCATCACCCTTCGTGCTTTACACTCTTTCCTCACAATAGCAAACAATGCACGACATCACCCTTCGTGCTTTACACTCTTTCCTCACAGTAGCAAATAATGCACGGCATCACCCTTCGTGCTTTAACACTCTTCCTCACCCAAGCAATAATCACAAACAAGGGAAAGGGAAATAAACAAGAACATATAGGAATCCCGGCAAGGGAAAAACAATTAAACAATTAAATCCCGGCAAGGGAATAACAATTAAATAATTAAATCCCGGCAAGGGAACATTTCAATAACTCTTTCTATATCTTTCAATTTTACTTCATAACTCGCTTTACCACTTGAGCCAATGCTCCAAAGGGTTCAATCATCTCATATACTTTCACAATTCATAATATAACTCGAGCCAATGCTCCAAGATGTTCAAAAGTCTCAATTCCTTCCACAAACTTTTCACAACAACTAGAAATCCTCACCAAAGCATGAAGGATACAATGAAATCAAGATATTCACAATATAAAGACTCATGGTCATGCTAGACACCAACGTATAGATACTCGTCACCATGCCTATACATCGTACACGACTAATACCACATAGCAAATAGGACTCAACTCCTAATCCCTCAAGCTAAGGTTAGACCAAGCACTTACCTCGATGCCTTGAACAAAACTCAAGTCTCAATTATAGCTTTACCCCTTGATTCCACTGCCAATTCGCTCGTATCTAATCACAAATTACTCAATTACATCAATAGGTGCTAAATGAATCAACCCCAATGCATGAAAATGAGTTTTTCAAAGTTTTACCCAAAAAGTCAAAAATTGCCCCCGGGCCCACGTGGTCAAAACCCGAGGTTCGAACCAAAACCCGATTACCCATTCCCCCATGAACTCAAATATATAATTTATTTTGAAATCGGACTCCAACTCCCCAGTTTTTGAAAAACCTAGGTTCTACCCAAAACACCCAATTTCCCCCATGAAAATCTTTGATTTTAGGTTGAAATCATGTTAAAAGATGTTAATGATTGAAAGAAATGAGTAAAAACTAACTTACAATTGATTTGGAAGAAGACTTGTTCTTGAAAAATCGCCTAAGTGTGTTTGGGTTTGACAAAATATGAAAAATGGGGTTCAAAATCGTTTAAGTGTAAAATGCAGGTCTCTGATATGGGAAATGCGAACATGGGTTCGCAATTGCGAACCCCGACCTCTCAGATGTAGGAATTGCGAAACAGGGTTCGCATTTGCGAACCCTTCTGAAATTCCCAATTTTCGCATTTGCGATGACAAACGTCGCATTTGCGACTGGCCTTCGCATTTGCGAACCATTTGGTTGCATTTGCGATCAGGCCTGCCCAAGTCCCACCTTCGCAATTGCGATGCATGGCTCGCATTTGCGAGCTCGCATTTGCGAGGCTGGCTTCGCAATTGTGAAGCCTGCAGATCAGAGACACACCAGCTAATTTTTAAGTTCAAAATGCACCCCGTGGCCTATCCAAAAACTCACCCGAGCCCTCGGGGCTCCAAACCAAATATACACACAACCTCAAAAATATCCTACGGACTTATTCGTGCGATCAAATCGCCAAACTAACATCATAAACATTGAATTAAACCTCAAAATCCAAGAATTCTTTCAAACTTCATAAAACATCAAAATTTTCAATTTAGGTCCGAATCACATCAAACGACGTCCGTTTTCAACCAAATTTCACAGGAAGGACTTGAAACATATATATGACCTATACCGGGCGCCGGAACCGAAATACGGACCCGATACCATCGCTTTCTAATCAGATTTCATTTCTAATTTCCTTAAACAATTTCAGAAAACAATTTTACTAAAAAATTCATTTCTCGGGTTTGAGACCTCGAAATTCGATTCCGGGCATATGCCCACGTCCCATATTTTCCTACGAACCCTCTGGGACCGTCAAATCACGGTTCCGTATCCGTTTACCCAAAGCGTTGACCAAGGTCAAATTTATTCATTTTAACATCAAAACTTAGCATTTTTCACAGAGTTTCGTATTTAAGCTTTCTGGCTATGTGCCCGGACCGCGCACGCAAATCGAGGCGACTCTAAATGGGGTTTTCAGGGCCTCGGAGTTATAGAATTTAATTTAAAATAAGTGATGATCGTTTGGGTCATCACAGATAACTTCAATCATCTCATGTGTTACCGCAACAAATTAGTGTATATTGATGTCTATGTAAGTTGACTGTCAAACCATCTATAAAAAAAACATTGTCTTTACCTCCTATATAGCAAAGGTTAACACCTTATTTATTTTAAAAAAATACCATTTTAAAAAATTATATTCTATAGATACCTTATAAGGTTTATAGCAAAATATTTAATTTTGGTTACCTCCTAGCCCTAAGCCACTAAATACGCTAATCAGTTACACTATTTTCTTTCTCTCTCTACATTGATACATCCCATTCTCTTCCCCCATTCCATTAAAATTTCCGATCTCCTCCTCCTTCCACCGGATTTGTGCAAAGTATGAAAGATTCAAAAGGTAACCAAACACTTTATTGGTGATATTATGTAGGCGTTGTTTTGATCCTTGTAATTCAGACTCTGCCATTCTCTTTCCACAATCCGTGGGTGAATATTATGAGCAGTGATTCAACCAATTAGAGGAGCAGAGCAGGTTCACTCTCTGCTTTAGCCGATTTGTGCTTTGTCTTCTTATATTTGGGAATTTAGAGTTCTTTTCGACAGAATCAAACCAACTTCATCAATCCAGAGCAATTCCATGTCGCCTTTCTTTTTCTTTTTCTTTCTTTTTGCTTTGTCTTCTTCTATTTAGGAATTTAGAGTTCTTTTCGACTGAATCAAATCAACTTCATCAATCCAGAGCAATTTCACGTGACATCCACGCCACAACTTTATCTTTCGCAATGAAGAACATTTCTTTTAATATATTTCAATATAATTTCAACGTATTATGCTGTATTTTCATGTATTTCATTGTATTCATTGTCTTTTTTTTCATTGTAATTCAATGTATCTAGCTGTATTCCATGTATTTTATTGAATTCTCTATCTTTTTTTCATTGTATTTCAATGTATCCCGCTGTATTCTATGTATTTCATCGTATTCACTGTCTCGCTATATTCCATGAATGTATTCATAAGTTTTTTTTAATTAATATAATTTATGTATTCAAATGTATTATATAATTTCTCTGAAGATTGCTATATTTTTGGGGTATTTTTCGGTTGAGAATCTTTTTTATAACTGAAAATACAAAATTTGTGTGTTATAATTGAGTTTGTTGAGTTATATTAGGAGTCTATTATGTTAATTGATTCACTTTCCGTTTTAAAAACAGTGTAATCCCCTATTTCACGCCGTGAATGCAGTCGAATACATCCAGCTGTAATTCCATGTTTCACTCCATGAATACAGTCGAATACACTCGAATACAACAGCTAATTAGCTGGACTTCCCTGATTCACGCCTATTTTTACTACTGTATTCATGAATACAATAGCTTAAATACATCAAATGCAACTTATAACCACATAAAAGGTATCTATAATCCGTAATATAGCAAATGATATCTATAAATGGCTAATTACTACTAAAAGATGGTGCTGTATGAAAATTTCCCTATTTTAAAACTTTTATGTTTGTTATTTGTATCTTCTGTCTAATGTAATCATTTTCGTCTGAATCTTGTAAGCTTTGCATCTATCTTAAAATGCATTTTTTGAAACTTTATCTTGTAGATATTGGGCCTTAGGGGCCCAACACTTGCTCAAATATACAGACAACTGTAAAATGTAGTTTCACATATCAAAAGTAACATGAAGCTGGATTTTTGGAAAAGTTGACTCAAAAATATTTCTTAAAATTCGTTTAAAATTTTAAGTTCTCAAACACTTAAAAATTGCGTCTCTATGATAATAATATTGGACTAAATTGCCTTGTATAAGACAACACGCAGCATTATTTGGTCTCTTGCCAAAACGCCACAAACTTTCAAGATAAGAGGCTTCAGAGAAATTTCCTATCACAAGAAAGGGTAAAATAGTCATTATACAATTGCACATGTTTACACAATCAGTAGTCTCTGAGCAAAGCCGCCTCATCAGTCAGTAGTTATTCTCAGCTAGAGAGTCCTCAAATAAACACAACGGAGCGAGAGAGAGAGAGAATTATTGAAGAAAGAAAGAAGTGTGTAATATTAAAAGTGTGATTCCTTTTCTTTTTATTTTCCAAGTGAGTTGGAGAGTTGTGTTAATTGTACCATAGTATTTGTATTGAATGGCTTACATTTATTATTATTATTATCTCTGAGTTCCAAATTTCCATAAGGTGAGGTGAGTACTTTTATTAACTCCTCTCCAAACTCCATAACCAACTCTTTTCTCTTTCTCTCAAATCTCAAGGAAAAAAAATACAACTCCCTAATAACCCGACATGTCACTAGAACTTCAAGCAGCAACTTAGTTTTTCTTTAGACTAAAATATAGATAGAGAAAATTCTACTTAATATTTTACTATATATTCTAGTCCTATATATAAAGCCTACTCGAAACTCTCACTGAATGCTAAAAAGTAATAAAGTCTTTGGCTTGCAGCCTTTTCAACTCATATAATCTTCTTCTTTTAAAGCTGGCAGATTTCCTCCACCCCCCACCCCCCTACTCCACCTTACCCCCTTTCCCACTTCAAGAAATACCCCAAACCATTCTTGATTTTTAGACATAGATGGTGTAGTTTCAAAAGTCATAGTTTACTGTGAAAATCTTCGGTATTAGTTCAATTGGCACTGCTTTCTCTTCTCCTCCTCCTATCCCTTTCCTTGGTTAAAAAAAACAAATTCAAAAACTGTTTATATATTTTTAGACGGCTTAAAAGCTTATAGTCTATTTATATCGATGAAAATCGTTTGATTCGCACTGTTTTATACTCTTCTCTTACCCCTTCCCCCAAAGCAAAATTTCTAAAAATTATTTCTTCTTCTCTTTTCTTTATATTTGTACAGAACTTAATAGTGCAATTTTTTTTAATTTATTGGAACAGATCAAAGCAGCAAAAAGAATATATTAGCAATGTTGGAGTACGACTGGGGAGAACAATCATCGGTTATGCTTTCAGGGGAAGAAGCAAATCAAGGAAATGACCAAAATCACCATCACTTCTTTGACCCTTTTGCAAACACTAGTCATCAAACTTTCACTGAAAACCCATCTTTACTAAATCCCCAACAACACCATTTTCTTAACACAACTCACCACCAACAACAAAATCACCAATTTTTTCACCCCCATTTGAACAACACTACCCTTTATGACCCACGTGCTTATGAAACCACTTATAATCCCACTCAAGGGACCATGCCCTCACTGCACCAACAACCACATACTGGGTTCATAATGGTCCCAAAAAGTGAACCACAATTTATGGGTGGGGTTCGTGATTTTGCGAGCACGAGCCGGATTGGGTTGAATTTGGGCGGGCGGACTTATTTTTCTTCGTCTGAAGATGATTTTGTGAACCGACTTTATCGACGTACTAGAGCAGTGGTTGAAGGTGGTTCAGTAGTGAATACTCCTAGATGTCAAGCTGAAGGCTGTAATGCTGATCTAACACATGCCAAACATTACCATAGGAGACACAAAGTTTGTGAATTTCACTCCAAAGCTGCTACTGTTATTGCCGCTGGCTTGACTCAACGATTCTGCCAACAGTGTAGCAGGTTGTATTTCTCTAAAATACATCACTCTCTCTACAAATACTACCATTTTTTCCATATATATATATATATATATATATATATATATATATATATATATATATATATATTTTGAGTTTGTACATAAATATAAACACATAAAATATCTTATTTTATCTGACACTATTACTGTTTTGAGCATCAAACAGTTTCTTTTAATACTATTTATGCATGTTTAACTATGCTAGTAGTAATTTTCCCCGTAATTCTGAAATATATAAAAATTTATTTAAAAAGATTTTGAAGAATTTTTGCTCGACAATCAAGTGTCTTGACTTTGATACTCCAAAAACTGTTAATATGAAGTATGTTTGACATTCCAATAACAAGATGAACAGAAAATGTAGTTGGAAAATGATAATATGACGAAAATGCACTGCACTTGGGGTGTGTTTAGGAGCAAATGATTGGAGTTTTGGAAGTTGAAAAGTCGTACACGGGGGTTGATCCCGAGGGTATTTCAGTCCTTAAAATTATGTTCCCCCATGAGTTTGCTACCCCGTTTTCCCGTATTACGTACTTGTTTATTTTTGCTACTTATAGCAAATACAGGTTTTTCCATTTTGGTTTCTGAATTAAACAGCTTATAATCAACACACGAATGACCTTAGTACCATTCTCTCTTTTTAATTTTCCCGTACTGTTGCATTTCATGATTTATTCTTATTAATATTCTTGAAAAAAACAGGTTCCATCTGCTGTCTGAATTTGATAACGGGAAGAGAAGTTGCAGGAAACGTTTGGCAGATCATAACAGAAGGAGGAGAAAAAATCAACAAGCAAACATAGAAAACAGCAACAAGTCTCAACTTGACAGTACCAGAAATTCCTCATCCGACAGTCTTGCAAGTAAGTTTTTGGTTCAAGGTTTATTAATCTCCTTCATTAGAAAGGAATTACAACAGGATTTTGGAATTTTCTTACAATGTATTTAATTTAATATATACTGAAAATTTACGGATTATTAGTGCTGTTTAACCTGTCATAATATATTAGTTACCTTTTTTTTTTAAAAATTACCTTATAAGTAAGCTGATTTGTTATTCTGATTTAATTTTTAGGGTCTCCACCAGATTCAGGAGCTCATTCATCATCAGTGACAGTAGCAATTTCACCACCAAGAATCTCACTGGATTGTTTTAGGCAAAGACCATAGAAAAAATGCTGCTGCTACAACATTATTTCATCGTTGACAAGTTCATGACTTTTCTTCTCCAATGGGTGACTCCATGATCTGCGTCCTTTTACTTCTGATTTCAAGCTTTAATAGCTACTACCACTACCAAGTATTAGTACTACTTACTTCTATTTAATAGGTTAAAATGAATTATTGAAGTATTAGAATTATGTTAACCCTTATATTTTGTCCCCACTTTCTATTAATTCCAATATCTTTTAGTATTAGAATGATGTTAACCCATGGATTTCCATTAATTCCAATCTCTTTCACATAAGATTGGGATTTGAGTATTACTATATAGGGGGCCTGTTTATTGTATTGTCACTTGTAGAAAAAATTAATCTTGAAAATGGGAAAGGATTGAAAATGATTTTCCCAAATTGTACTTTAGATCAAATTCTATATATTTTTGTCTATGAGTTTAACTTCTATATGCTGATTGTCTAAATGAATTTTGTTACTATCAGGTCAATAAAAGATAAGCATAACTAAATTTTCATAATAAATACTAGAACCATTTATCTAGAAAATAAAGAATATAACCTACTATAACAAGTAAACAATTACAGTAATAACGTTAAACAGTTTTAATATTTTAAGCGTTTATATATTAAATCGACCATTCGTACGTCTGTTGGGAATAAATTCAAAGTTAGATATTCTTTTCCAAGAGAATTAACTCAACGTATTTCCAAGAGAAAGGGACACTTTCTTTTTGGTTACTCGAGCTGGACATGGCAGGCAAGCTCATGCAGGTGTATTACCATTTCTAGTGTATGCATTATTTTCTTTTGTCTGGTACTTTGATATTTTTTCCTGGAAAGTGGCAGTAAAATAAGAAGGCTGGGTAAAAAATAAAGTTGTTTGCTACTTCCTTGGGGTAAAAAAAGATGTGAAACTGATTGCTATTTCTATTGATGAATATACTGTTAAGGGTATAAGAGGTCCACGAGTCAAGCTGTCTCCTGCATGGAGGCTATTTTTGATCAAGTTTTTATTATGTGGTGAGGGTCCACTAATCACTATATATAATTAAGGATTTGAATGAGCAATTCCACATCAATCTCTATTTCATGGCCTTTCACGCCAAGACAATTACAGATTTATGTTGGTATATTTATTACCAATAAGCACGTCCCAAAATTTAGCGACGTCTTATGATGAAGTTTATGAATGTCATTTTTACTTGTCCATTATATTAAAAATATATTTTTACTTTTACTTGTCCATTATACTAAATCAAGAAAAAAACAATCTTTTTTTCCTATTTAACTTTTATCATTAACTACTCATTCCCGAATCATTTCTTAAGACTTTTGAAAATGCTATTATTATTATGGTTAAATTGTAGAACATAGATTTAATTTATTGTTTGTTAAGGAGCATTAAAAGTCCAAAGGGGGCAACTTATAAAAATGAACGAAGGGAGTATATTCTTTTGTCACAAAAATTTGGCAATATCAAATTTATGTACGTTGTGACTGATTTTTCTGTTATGAATATTATTTTTTCTTGTAGTACTCTTTTCATTTCTTAACTTTGTAAAGAGAATTTTGATTATGTTTATTCTCATGTGGAGGTTGGTAGGTGGGTGAATGAGTACCCTTGTGTGTGGACAATCTTGGACGTAGGGTTATATGTTATTAGTTATGCACGATTTAAAATATAAGTGTTAGTTATGCAAAAATTAATTATACAGGGATTATAATGCACAAATTATTTATGCAAGGGTTAATTATTTTTGATTTTGTTGTATTAAAAATCAATTCATATTTTATAATTTGAAATATATATTTTTCACTATTGTTTAAAAAATATTTGTTAACTAGAGTGAGTGATACATATATCTAATACCGAGAGTCCTTTCATTTCTCTGAGAAGGAAAATATATTTTAATTCTAAATTGATAGAGGGTACTTTTATCATTTGAATTTTTGATCCATGTATTATTTAATATATGTATTCTTATTCTACGTTCTATTCCCATAAAATAATATAATAATTTCCTCATTATTTTATACGTGTATTATTTTGTACGGGTAAAAAGGAAAAAACTTAACCAAACGCTGTATAAGTTATGTTGGATTCTTTACCAAAATTAACTTTTCTAAAAATACTAACCAAATAATATATCTTATGGGTTCAGACTAAGTATTATAAAAAATATCATTATTATTATAAAAATACCCAAAAGGTTTCGACGATGACCGAAGATAAATAACGTGTCCATCAAATATTGCAGTTTACCTATTATAATCTATACTATATTAAAAGCACGAAGGCCCTATCGAAATATCGTTCGTCTTTTTTACCCTTTAAAAATAGGTTTCACATTGGATAAAATAGTCATTTAGTTATTTCTCTAATATTTAGGAATCTAAAATTAATTAAATTTTTGGCTATTAAATCTTTCCTTATTTGAACTAAGTAAAAACTCCTAATATTTAGGAATTTAAAGTCAAGTAAAATTTAACTTACATAAATACATCTCTTATTCTAATTGGATAATATAACTATTAGCCGGTCATTATAAATATATGTCTTTCATATAGAATAAATCTTAACTCCAACAAAATAAACCCTCTCACGTAGGTTAGATATAGAATATAACTTACTTTATAATTTGAGTATGTTTCTTCGTCACACAAACAAACATATATTTATAAAAATTAAGAGCAAAAACAAAGCCAAAGTTTTTAATTATTGGAACAACGAGAATTGGTTTTGGAAACACAGAACTATTTTTGGGAGATACTTGTTTGGTTACTTATTATATGTTAACTTTGAAAATAAAATATTTGTAATAAAAAAACTATTGAAGTCTACGCATTAACCTAACAAAAACGGAAAATGCTTATGATTCCTAACAACCTAGAAATTTATGGAGTAATTTACATGAAGTTATTAATTCACACATAAATGAAGTTGATCGACATATCCAATATATACCTTTAAAAAATTAAATTATTCTTTCACCAAATTTATGTTAAAATGTTATATAGAGATTTAAGATTTTATCTAATATTTAGACTATAATTTTAATAGAATATGATTTAAGAATCATTATCTGTATTAAATTTTTTGATAAACGAGTATAATTTATCTACAATGCTTATTATCTATACTATTATAAAAGCATAAAATTCTAACATGAATGTTGATCGACTTCTTTCACTCTTCCTAAGTGCTTTCTATGTTGGATAAATTATAGATATAACTAATAAAAATTAAAATTTTGAGGACTTTTATAGGGCAAAGCTTCTTCCTTTATTGCATTTGTTGAATAGGATTGCCAAATCATTATTTTCATAATTTTATATTCTTTTTTGTTTACTTTTCTTATGTAAATCAAACACTAATTACAAAATAATATTAATGTTAGTTTTTATACACGCGCGACGCGCGTACTCAAAGACTAGTAAGTTATAAAAGACTAATATTGTATGTACAAGTGAAATCCCTGACATATATAAAGACTTAGAGCCCGTTTGACTTAGCTGATTTAGAGTAGCTGATAAGCATTAGGTGCTGAAAAACACTTTTAAGTGCTGAAGCTGATTTAAAAATAAACAGTTACGTGTTTGGATAAAAGTGCTGAAATTAATAATATGCAGCTAAAGAACTGGGTATACGAAGAGTTTTGTTTTAAAAAGAAGTATTTTAGGGATAGAATAGTAAATATTTTGGTCAAACTTAAACTGCTTATAAGCTGAAATTTGATAAGTTGGGGGAGACCAATTTATGACTTTTGGCTTATTTTTGGCTTATAAGCACTTAACTTATAAGCACTTTTAATTTTGCCAGACGCGTAGATAAGCCAAAAAGTACTTATAAGCCAGTTTGACCAGCTTATAAGCTTAGCCAAACACCCTCTTAATTCCAATAATATGTGTAATTGACATATATATATATATATATATATATATATATATATATATATATATATATATATATATATATATATATATATATATATATATATATATATATATACTTATTTCGTGTGTAGTAATTATGAGTTGGTTTGTCTTTTGTGTCTCATCATGGGATCTTCAAATAGGTAAAAGATTCTCTCAGGAGAGCTGATGTAGAGGTTCACTTCAATGTTTTCTTAGTAACTACAAAAACTTTGAACCTTCGACGAAATTTAACAACACATGTAACCAGATTGAGGTGATTGAGAGTTGAATTTCTTACTCTTCTCTTCATGTCATTTTCAAAGCAACTTTTTTTTTTTCTAATTAATTTGTTACTAATAATAACAATGTTCAGTATAAAAGTTCAAAATTTCTTTAACAAAGCCTCACTTTTATTACTTAAATTATGTCCTCAAAATGTTCACTCACATACTAACCTGATTTTTCTTCATAAACCAATCGCACGTGAGTGTTCTTTTAAGAATAGGTTGCAATGACACATCTGCCTTCTTGATATCATATTGAAGTGTATGCCCGTCTCATCTAAATATTTAAGTTATTATATTAGAGGGTGCACACTTTTATATAATTGACTATGTCTTTAACACGATTTGTCTCTTTATATAGGTTTTTCTGCCTAACCTTCTTTTCTGCCAATGCATATGCGTAACCGTACTTCGTTTCCCAACCACTGAAAATCTTTTACCTCCAACAACGGATTTCTACTTCAATTAATAGATAATAACTTCTAGTATTTGTTGGATAAACTAATGGATATCTCAAATTGTGTTCCTCATTAGTAAGGAAGAATTTCACTTTCTAAGGAATTGTCCCTCTAATTTCCTAGTAAAAAGCAAGAAGCGCAAGAATTGGCCCGAAGGCAAAATAAGTTGAATTTCCCCAAGCGCGTTTAAGTCTTATCCAAACAAAACAACAAAACCTTAACGCCAAACCAGTAATTTTATTTTGACAACATAATTTATAGAGTAAATCACAAAACCAGTATAAAAGACAGAACTTTATTGCATCACATTATAAACCTTGGAATAGCTTCACTTCATGGGTCCTGCATGTGGACCAGCACATACAAAATTTGCTCGATTTACATGTCGGATCCTAAATTTAAGTCCATCAAACTGAAAAGATGGTGCCAGCTTCTCTTGCTATTATACCTATACCCCCTTTGATCAAATCCTGCGAATGAAGTGACACCTAGCGAATACGTTATGAGTTCATCTAACTGGTAACTTTAATTTAGATTTTCGCTTTATTTAAAAACTCACAAAATAAGTATAATAAATAAATTTCAAATTTAAAAAATGAAATGGTATATGATAGAATTCTGAACTCGAACCGGTCAAATTCGATTCTTGTATACGCTTCTTGATGTTGGGTTGTTGTCTATTGTACATCAAAAGGTCCAATGATCTAATTCTATTCTTTCAGATATTTGGTTTTTATTTTTAATTAGTTTTAATTCCTATTTAGAATTAATTTTGACTTTAAACAAAGCGTCATTCCTTGCTTACAAATAGAGCAACCACTAGAGAATTATATTATTTCAGGCTCATTGTTATTAATTTTTGAAAGACTTTAGCACATAAGAGAGGCTTCGGAAAGCAACCTCTTTGAGAGAATAAGAGAGAGAATCTTGTTCCATTGCTCCAAAAATTTCTATGCACACTAGATGTCACGGTCCAAAATCCCACCATAGGCCGTTATGGCGCCTAACACATTTGCTAGGCAAGCAAACTCTCACATCAACAACAGAATTCAATTATTAATCAATTAATTGATTCATAGCATATAAGCAAAAGCGAAATACGAAATAACTCAAATATCAAATGTGCATAAATCTCATATAGGGTCTACATAACTACAACTGTTTCAACAACTCTTCCAAAACTCGGGTATCACAACTAGTCACAAGAATCTAATAAGGGTACAAGATCTCAACTGAATATAAAGTTTGTCCGGAAATAAAAAAGATACAAAGGCATATATAAAAAGAGGGGAGGAAAACTCTGTGTGCTGCGGATCGAATCAAGTAAATGCTTATCACGAAGTCTCCTAAATGCACTCCTACTCATCTAGATGAATGCCACTAAACTCAGTCTCAAAACCTACACAAAATAGCTGAAGTATAGTGTGAGTATAAAATACGATACTCAATAAGTGTTAAATCTAATATCATCTGCAAATTGCATGCACCACGGCACCTCCCTTTGGATGTGACGCGTCAGTACGTCCATCGCGAGAGCAAACAAAAAAGGGCTGAGTCCCGACCCCTGATGCAACCCCATCGTAACTAGAAAATGGTCCGAGTGCACACACCGTCCTCACTCAGGTCTTTACTCCATCATATATGTCCTTAATCAACCTAACGTAGGCAACAAGTGCACCTCTAGCCTCCAAACATCTCCAGAAAACCTCCCTCGAAACTTTATCGTACGCCTTTTCTAAGTCGATGAACATCATATGCAAGTCCTTCCTCTGCCTATACTGCTCCATCAATCTGCTAACAAGGTGGATGACTTCTGTAGTCGAACGCCCCGGCATGAACCCGAACTGGTTCTCGGAAATAGACACACTCCTCCTCACCCTTAGCTCTACTACTCTCTCCCAGATTTTCATAGTATGGCTAAGCAACTTGATATCGTGATAGTTATTTCAATATTGGATATCAACCCTTGTTCTTGTATACAGGAACCATCATGCTCCATCTCCACTCTTCGGGCATCTTCTTCGTTCTAAAAATGACATTAAATAACCTAGTGAGCCACTTCAAGCCTGCCTTGCCCGCACTTTTCCAAAACTCCACCGGGATTTCATCCGGCCTGGTCGTTTTGCCCCTGTTCATCTCACGCATAGCCCCCTCCACTTCATCAACTCTAATCCGCCTACAATGTCCAAAGTCAAAACGACTCCCAGAGAGTTCCAAATCACCCCGTACAATGCTCCTGTCCCCCTCCTCGTTCAAGAGACTATGGAAGTATGTCTGCAATCTCCGACGGATAAGCCCCTCATCCAACAAAACTTGACCTTCTTCGTCCTTGATGCACTTCACTTGGTCCAAGTCACGAGTCTTCCTTTCTCGCACCTTGGCTAACCCGAACAACCTCTTATCTCTACTTCGACCCTCGAGTTCCTCGTACAAACGACTAAAAGCTGCAGTCTTGGCTGCCGTAGCTGCTAGCTTTGCCTCTTTGTTAGCCAACTTATATTGCTCCCTATTCACCCTTTTCTCCTCCTCGTCTACACTTTCCACTAGCTTCAGATACGCTGCTTTCTTGGTTTTCACTTTTCCTTGCACCACTCCATTCCACCACCAGTCTCCCTTGTGACCACCAAAGTAACCCTTTGAGACCCCTAATACCTCTCTCGCGGCTTCCCTAATGCACTGCGCAGTCATGGTCCACATAGCGCTTGCGTCCCCACTACTACTTCAAGCCCCCATAGTCAGCAGCTTGATCCCCAACTCCTGCGCTTTAGGTTCTGTCAAGGCTCCCCACTTGATCCTATGTTGGCTACACATCGCCCTCTTCCTCGTGATCTCAAAGTCCATGACTAGGAGCCTAGAGGTTCTCACTCGGGATGATCTTGCAATCCCTGCAAAGACCTCTATCGGACTTCCTGCGGAGTAAATAATCAATCTGAGTCTCGGCCACCGAACTCCGGAAGGTGACGAAGTGCTCCCTCTTCTTCGGGAAACTCGAGTTTGCTATCACCAAATCAAATGCTCTAGCAAAGTCCAGCAGAGACGTTCCTCCTCCATTTCTATCTCCAAAACCAAAGCCACCATGCACATCATCATACCACCAGACATCGCTCCAATGTGGCTGTTGAAATCCCCTCCTATGAAAAGCTTCTCGGTATGCGGGATACCACGCACCATCTCATCCAAGTCCTCCTAGAAACGTCTCTTGACTTCCTCATCCAAGCCTGCTTGGGTGCGTACGCACTGATTTTGTTCAAAGTAAAACCTCCAACAACTACCTTAATAGTCATCAGCCTGTCATTCACCCTTCTAACCTCCACCACTAGTTCACGGAGGTCCTTATCAACCAAGATACCTACCCCGTTCCTGCCCCCCACCCTCCCAGAATACCATGGTTTGAACCTGTCCACATCTCGCTCCTTATCTCCTACCCACCTAGTCTCCTGTACACAAGCTATATTAATCTTCCTTTTCTCGAGATCTTCGCTAACTCTACAGATTTTCCAGTCAAAGTTCCTATGTTCCAAGACCCCACTCTCAGCCTAGTAGCTCCCTTAGCCCTCTTACCCCCGCACCCCCTCCCCGACGATGACACTCCCGAGGACAAGACCTTACCCTACCATCGTTCACCAAAGCTACTATAATCTAGGACTCACTACGCAAGCACTATCTCGAAAACAAGCAACAAAAATAAAATGAATAACCGAAATATAATCTACCACTAAAGGTCGCAAAACAGGTGAAGAGCTAAAATAAAGTAACTAACGGAAACTATAATCTACAACTAAAGGTCAGAAAAACAGGTGAAGAAATAAAATAAAGGAACTAAAGGGAACTATAATCTACAACTAAAGGTTAGAAAAACAGGTGAGGAAATACAATAAAAGAGCTAAAGGGGACTATAATCTATAACTAAAGGTCAAAAAGAAAATGTGCAAAACTAGAGCAGAACTACTAGGGGATATATTAAATAAAGATTCAAAATAAAGACGTAAACAGATAGATAACAATATAAACAAGTAGGCAAGGCTATCACTAATGCAATTAATTTGACAATGATAGGGTAAATACTAATTAAAGATTCAAGAATAACTTTAGACACCAAAGTAATTCTCAAGGAGCAAAATGAGAAAACCTTTTTTCATCTTGCCTTATGAACAATGCTCCTCTGTTTATATCACGTTCAGCTCTCCAAGTTCAATATGTTAGGAGATCCAAGAATTTTTCTCGGCGGACCTTCTGCAGACCTTTAAACTGTCATTCAGATGTGGTAGAATGCTACTCCTTTTGTCCCAATTTATGTGATACTCTTTCCTTTTTACCCTTAGTGAGATGATTTCTAGCCACACAAATTTTTATAATTTATTTTAGATCACAAGTTTCAAAAGTCTTCCGTTATTTCTTAAACTTCGTTTCAGTCAAACACCTTCACATTAATTGGGACGGAGAGAGTATATGAAATAAAAAATACTTGACAAGTTTCTTTTTATCTGATATGTTGGACTATAATGTAACTCCTGCATAGTATGTTTTGGTCACTGATTCTCTTTCTGATTGCTGTCCTCGTCTGATTTCTAGCCACACAAGTTTCTATGATTTGTGTTAGACCACAACTTTCAAAAGTCTTCCTTTATTTCTGAAACTCCGTGCCCAGTTAAACACCTTCACATTAATTGGGACGGAGGGAGTATATGAAATAAAAACTACTTGACAAGTTTCTCTTAGTCTGATATGCTGGACTATAATGTAACTTCTGCATAGTATGTTTTGGTTACTGATTCTCTTTCTGATTGCTGAAGGCTGCACCATCAGCAAATGCAAGTCGGCGAAGGCAGGCATTGTCAGAATCAGACGAGGATGAGCCATTGCCGAGGCAGGGAAGTGATGGAGAAGGCAGAGGCGATGCTACTGTTGATGATGATGAATGAAGATGAAATACCTCTACAACTCCTAATTGGCTGGATGTCAAGATTACCAACATTCATTCCCTTTATGCCAAACACACTGGGATTTCTGTTGGCTCTTTCTTGGCCTGCCTGCTTTGTTGTTTTTGCTTCCTGGGCTAGTCTAGCCTGAGTTCCTTATAGGAAGAAAAGGTAGCTGTAGCTTAAGTCATAGAAGAACAGATATACTGTAAATGCATAATGTTTATAGACAAATGTTTCAGATGAGTTAACTTTTTTGCCAAATCCAAATCGACCTTGAACTCCTATAGAATAGATATAATGCTCTGTTATTCTTTCATCTCCTAATTAAAGATTAGAACAGACTTGCTATTCAGAACATTATATTTGGGTAAAAGAGCATATTTTGCATCAGGAGTTGGGAGTTCATTTATTTATCAAACAGACACTGACTGAAAAATCAGACAGCTTAGTTGATCCTTTCATAGTCCATTCACTAAGGACTGGAGATGATCCATACGAGCTTGGTTAGGTCAATATCTATGCCATTACTACTTTTTTCTTTGTATAATTAACATTCTTTAATCACTTACTTTCCCTAGTTTTATTAGCATTTCTTTGTGACCACTTATCCGGGGGATTGTGTTGCGAAAAGGTTAAATAAAACGCTGACAAATATATATATATATATATGCTTCTGGAGAATTGCTGTCAGAAGCATTAGTGTTACAAATTTATTTAGCTCGGCACAGATGAATATTATGAGTAATTGAGTTTTTCAACTAGTACAGAACTAAACTTGTTTCAAATGCTAATTCTTGTCAACAGGTTTTGACACCCTGTTTTTTCCATTCCAAGTATTTGTGATCTTTCACTATCAACTGTTGGTGAGCATTTTAATCCAGGTGGGCTGCTGCGAATTGTCATCTTCAGCACTAAGGTAACACTTCACCTTGATTCAACTAATCTGTAATGTTGCTATTTAAGGGAATTCAGTACTTTTTCCGCGACAGAGTAACAATAATTGATATTCTAATTTTTTGATGACATACTTGGACTTTCAAACTATACGCGCAATTAATGTCAAGTAGAAATGTGATAATTCCACACACTAGAAAGTAGTAAAAAAACAGTGATTGTTGAAAGGGTGAATCTGTATTGGAAGATTTCTCACCAGATGGCATTAACTTCTGTAAAATAAGTGCTGCCTTGAAGGAAGTAACTGACATTTATGCAGAAGCAGAAGCAGCCCTTCAATGTATATGTAAAAAGTACCTCCTTTTTCTGAATCCATGTAGAATTCACTCAGGTATGTCTTTTTTGACGAGTCCGGAACCAAAATGTGGTCCTTTTGGATTCAAATGACACAAATATGTGGAAAAAAAAAACAGTGACATTTTTATATATAATGCCACTTAACCTGACGCTATATATTAACAGTAACGGAGCCGTTAATGTATATCGCCATTTATTGTGGTGCTATACTGTAAAGCTCCTGTCAGGTATAGCGCCACAACCCTTTTGTGTACGACTCCAAATCAAGTCCGCTCCCACTTTTTGGCCGTACACTGCGCACTGTACAACACGTAATTAGGATTTCTTCTCCACAAACTGATTTCCCTGACACTGCTCCCAACTACTCTATTACCTCACTACTAACGTAAACATCAATTTATTACTGTGCTGCCAAAATTTTCATTTCCAAAGATTTTTAATTACTATTATACTGTATATATTTATAATATTTCAATAAACTAAATTATTAAAAGAAAAATTAACCTAAATAGTCGTTCATTTCTCTATGTATAATTTTTGTATACCAATAAAACAAAGTAAACAACAAATTCGACCAGTTAAAATTTTATTCGATTTGAATTCCTGAATATTAAAACTTCCTCCGAATAACTCAAATAATTTAAGATTAATAGCAAAATTTTAGTTAATTTTGAAGTTTTAATATTAGAAATATAATTAAATGATAATAACTATTATCTAACATGAATGATTAAATGATTTATATTAAAAAATAGCTAATTTATAAGTCAGATTAAATTCTTTGTTCACATATAAAAAATTTGGATTAACACAACTCACATGATCCAAAAAAGATAATCAACAAAAAAAAAAGATTTTGAAAATATATTAATTATTCATACGTGTTCAATCCTACAAAATAAAACAAAGACAAAAATTTAGAAAATTGGTTACAAATCCAAACGTGTTTAAAACATGTAAACATGAAAAGATCGAATTTGAGGACAGTAGCTACACGATTTAAATAAGGAAAAAATATTTATAAGTATAATTTAAATCTTACAAGGAAAGTTGTACTGCATCTTTCGTTACAATAATTTTTAGAAAATAATGGGACCTCGGTTTCGTCACTTGGCATTAACAGCACAAAGATAACCAACATATTTACAAATAGTACAATTAGTAACATCGCAAAAAACAAAAAGAGTGCTAAAGGTCACTGGAATCTATCAAAAAATTGCATGTTCTGCTTATATAGTAAATATTGAATGTGAATAAAAAGGTATGGAATTGAACGCCAAGTAATAGTGCTCGTCAACAAAATTAAAGAACAAGACAGTACTAAGGTGGGGAGGAGATTAGGTAGGTGAGGTGTCGAGAAATGAATGGATAAGCAGTAGAATACACAATTATTTGGTGAGGCAAAGGGTGATAGGAGGAAATGTCAGGCCCTGTTCAAATTTTAAAAGGGATATAGCGCCAGTTATTGTGGCGCTATACCTGGCCCTGTCAGCTTTACAGTATAGCGTCACAATA